CAATTTAGAGTCTAAATGTCAAAAAGCGTGGCAATTGACTATCAATAATTCCTTGATTAGATGGCTAGAACATCTATTGCACTGGTTTCACCTAGAAGAAATTTGAGCTTAACAAGCTGTTGGGCATTTAAGGAAGCTACTCTAACTTGGATCCTATGGTTAGGGATAGCTAGAAGTGCCTGTAGGTGTGTCAAAATCTTCCCATGCTTTGTTGTTGGAGGTCTGTCTCCTGCCGCTTCTGATGCGTATGTAAAATCCTCTACTATTGCATTTAGTGGGAAATCCTCTGATTCTWTTTCATCCTATTGCTCTTTTGTTACTGCATTTAGGCTGTTAAATAGAGTTAATGTAAGGCTTTGGGTTATTAAATCTTGGGCTGAATGCAGCTCTTTTCTTTCTGCAAGGCTTCTTTAACATTACCTGTTTCACATGATGCAAAAATGTGAATTTGATTTATTTGATGGAAGGTTATCAGTTTGTCTTCTGTTTTCTCAGAGCTTCAGCTTCCCAACCAGGCCATCTTCAGCAAAATAGGTAGCTGTGACCAGGATATTTTAATTATGTGACCTGAAAAAAATCTTGTTTTTCAATTGTATTACTCACTGTAAAAGTCGAAACAGAAATCTAGTACAGAAGTAGACCATACATAAAGCAAATTTTAAAAACTGATCTATACAAACCCTCAATCAGAAATTAAGAAATGGAAACGTATTATTATGGTTTCTAGTGTGAACAACACCTATTACATGAATCTATGTATAAATTAAATGCAACTTTAATTATTGTGCTATGGATGATCTCTGAAGTGAGACTTGAAAATAACCATTTAATGAAGAACAACACTCTTTTCCAGTAAATGAGTCACCNAAAAAAAAAAAAAAAAAAAAAAAAAAAAGTCTTTCATGGTTTAACTTTATAATTTGAGTACTGCCTTTGCTAAGAGCTATCATACAAAGGGTTTGAGGCATTTTTTTCACTTACATCTGTTCAATATATTCCATGGATTAAGTCTACCTGATGAACTTGATATTGAGTGGATTGTTGAGCAAGTTAATTGCTTAATTTGCAGCTAAAATGATTTTAAACTCCAGTGCAATTGTTCATTTGATTTTGAGTTGTCAATTGATTTTTTTTTAGTTATAGCTTTTCATTTATATATTTGCTTTTTATGCTAATACCAGTRTTTTGTTGTTTTCTGTGTTAGAAGAAATAAAGAAGGTAATTAATAACTGCAAAGCCTAATTTTTAGAATATCTTCTGTTCAAGGAAACTTTTGAAGACTTAGTTTGTTAGTAGTTTTTTTTTTTTTTAATAGAGACATTCCATGGAGTTCATCAGCTTAATAATTTTCATGCACAAATTTTCTGTTTTGTTATATCTATAAATACTGTCCATCTTTTATATTTCACATATACAATTATCATGACTAAAGCACATTTGAAAATAAACCTATCCAAGAATGACTACTGGAAACATTTTTGGCCAGGAGGACAAGTCAGTGAAATCATACTAAAATCTCTGAAACAAGCAGAAGCTTTATATATTTAGAGAAAGGGAAAATCCCTGAAAAAACCCAGGCAAGTTTATGCTGTGTAAAAAAAAATGGGCTAGAATTGTGTAATTTCAGTTTTATTACACTTAATGTTAAAATTTTCCCAAAAAAAGGCTAGTTGAAAATATTTGACATTTTGAAAATCAAAGCAACAAATTCACGATTTATATGCTTACCTGGATATATACCTGACATCTAGATAGAAATGTCTAGCTAGTAACATAGAGTATATGCTTATAATTTGCAAAACTGCTACAACCCCCATACAATCTTGAACTACAAAGAATGTCCTATCAATTGATCTATCCCTTAAAAATAATGGATTCTGCAAAACTAAAAACATCGATTTCTTAGAAAAATCTGTGATTCAGGAAAAAAAAGTTACATCCAAGTTTTTAAGACCACAGACATCAAATATTGCAATAAAATGAAAATCTTACAAACAATTGATTTTGTCATCTACTTTTGAAACATTAACTATATGGACTGTGCAGACTTAGTACTAACTGGACTTCTTTTCCAGTGGCATCTCTAAGATACTAGCAGTTTCTTATTGTACATATTTCTATCGGGGATATTTTTTAAAAGCCCAAATGGTGAGATTGATAAACTCTCTTTCTATATTCACATTTACAGCAGTGTTCTCAGTTAATAAAGAGCAAAATTCAACGAGACTACTACTAGACTCGTAACTAGAAGTCTGACAGAAGAGCATTATTCCATGCCAAACCAAAACAAGCACATTGTTTCTGCTATTGAAAACAGCAGAAAAGCTCTGTTTATGTAACAGAGCACAGAATCTAGAGTAGTCAAAGGTGGCAGGGACCTCTGGAACAAATCTAGTCTAACAGCCTGCTCAAGCATCACCTACAGCCAGGAGCCCACAACTTCTGTTGCATTTTCTCTTTTTCCTTATGGTTGCATGTTCCATGAAGCACTTCACTTTTTTAGATTAAACAAGCTTGTTTCATTCAATTATTTGTGGAAAACAAACTTCTCTACAATATTCTTGCACATTTTATCCTTCAAAAGTGATTTCATGTAAAGTTGAGGGTACAGGTGGTACGCTATGGAGAATAACAACATGTAGTGTTGTTAGCGGGTACCTCTGACTGCAATACACACATAAACTGTCAGTCATGCCCTTTTCATGAGCATCCTTGGTCTASTCAAATAGATATTCATCTATTCATCCAGTCAAATAGATATTAGTCTCACAGTCTTTTACCATTTTTCATCTGAGCACTTTAAATACTCTCCTAGAAACCATGTTTTGCCATTTTCAGATAGGTTTTATAACCAATCTTAAATGACAGGAACTTAAAATTCTATAATGGTTTTACATATTGTCTCCAAGTAAAGCAGTCTATAAAAGCTGATTGTACCTTCTGCCTCTCTCTGTGAATTGCTTTTGGGGACATAACCAGTGCAAAAACATTTTGTATTTTATTTCCAGTCTCTCTCTCGCTGTCCCTGTAGCTTCCTCCTGTATTTGACTGGCATGGGACAAATTCTCAAGAGTTCACTCCAATTTCATCTCCTGGGTTATTCAATTGCCTGATTAATTCCCAGCTTAGACCTGCACTGGACACCACAATGCTACCCTCCTCCCCAGTTTTCTCAAAAATGCTGGCTTCATCTGAACACACTTTTCTCCTACCAAACTCCCCTCACTTCTCTTTTTCCCTTCCATTCTGTTACCTTCCTGTGGTGGTAAAACAAAACCAGTTGGTAGGGTAACAACAAGACGAAGATAACAACAAACCTAGCTGATCTGGCACATCAAGGGAGGGTTTCATGTCTCATTAGCAGTACAAACATTTAGCAATTTCATGCATTACTCTTATTACACAAGCAGGTAGGCACTTACAGCAAAGATCAGGATATTATTTCAAATGGTATGTCCTATTTTATTATAATTAGGAGGATAAAAATAATTTTTTAAATGGAAACATAAAAAGAAGACTCTGCTATGTTCTTCCTGAAACAGACTGCTGTGACAGCTGGTTAATGCATATCCCGGGACCTCTCATGAAGCTGTTAAGTGTTATTTATCAAGATAAATCTTGATAGGCATGTGAAGAAACAACATTCCAGATTATAGCCTCAAAAATAAAATTAATTTTAGGGCTTGGGGTCATCAGTGACCAGCAGAGGAATGCTTCACTGGAAGGCAGCTTTCTGTGCTTCTATGGGCTTGGGAAGGTTGCTGCTCAGTGTAGGGGTGAAACAATACCTTGGAGGGACTGCGAGGTGGCCAAGAGGATGGGATGGACAAGGCCCAGGGAAGTCCACAGCCCTCCAGCTCTAGCCACCACCCACTGTCCCTACAAGATGCAGCAGAAGTAGCAATAACAGTTGATTTTCCATTTTAAATTTATTCATTTGGAAAAACAGAAACATATCCTTTGTCTAACCTGTTTTCTTTCTACAGAAGAATATCTCCATGTAGCTTCTGAGAACGAATATCGGAAAATGTGTGCTTCTGTCTAAGAGCACGTGGTTGGGAATTCAAGATGATGCACTGCTTTCACTGTGAAAACAAAGTCACTGCTGATGTCTCTGGTTTCAGTCTTCTTTCTCCTAATTCTAAAATGTTTTGGACTCCTAAAAAGGGAAGGGCTTTTCAGGACTAACTTGTACTGCCCAGAAGTGAACACCAGTGCTGACAGCTAATTGATCTGTAGACTCTCTCTCCCACTTCTTCTTGTGCAGATGAGTAAAAGAATTTATATTAAATGCAAATAAACTCAGACTGTCTTACACACTTGACAAATGCTCATCGTTGATGCCTGCAACTGAGTCAATGTGTTCAATGACTGGGAACTCCGGCACGTGGAACTTTCTGGGGTACTGGAAGAGCGTAATGTTTCAAAATGATAGCATCTGCAAATGTCCACAGTTTTTGTTGTGGGCGGTTCATGTTGCCTAAAGTGGGAAAGTACCATATCTGGTACATTTCGCAACCTTTTCCCTTTCGCAACACTTACACGGAACGTGGGGGTTTTTTGTTTGGTTGTTTTTTGGTTGGTTGGTTGGTTGGTTTTGGTTTTTTTGGCTGTTTTTTGTAGTTGTTGTTGTTTCTTGGCTTTTTGGTTTTGTTTTGGGGTTTTTTTGTGGGTGGTTTTTTTTTTTTTTTTTTTTGTGGGGGTAGGGTTTTTTGGGGTTTTTTTTCCGTTTCTCGAAAAAACGTCCTTGATGACTTTTCCCAGGTACGTGGGGTTCTTTCTTATTCTTTTTACCCTCAGAACGAGCGTTGTTGGATAACATCGGTGTGCCGGTAGAGCTGCCCGACGTTCAGTAAATTGCTAAACGCTGTCGGTCCTGCGCGGCCGGGGTGCTCCGCGATGTCCCTGCAGGGCTGGCGGCGGGGCTGTAGCTGGGGCCGGAGCGAGGCGGGCCGGGGAGAGGCGGGGAAGCACAGCCACCTGCTCGGCGGGGCCGGGCCGCTGTCGGGGTATTTAGGGGAGCGTTGGGCGGGGGTGTCGCTGCAGCCGCGGCGGGCAACTGTCTCTGGCGCCATGAAGGGCAGCGGCATCGAGAACCCGGCGTTCGAGATGCCTAGCCCCAAGCTCGGCCGGCGCTGGCTCGAGGGCCCCGCCAGGGCAGGTACCGGCGCCGCGGCCCACGCCGGGCCCGGCTCCGGCCCCGAGGAGGGACCCTGCGGGTGGGGCCCCTGCGCCCCCAGAACTCTGCAGCTCTGCAACAATTCCGAGGGGTATCTGGCTGCCTACAGCTTGCTGGCCATCTTCCAAGGTAACCTGTCCCTGCTGCCCAGGGCGCGCGCTGTGGCCCGTCCCGGGGCTTGGGGGGGACCAGGAGGAAGACTGAGCTGGAGGAGGCAGGGAAGGAGTGGTGAATGTTGTGGGTGGTGGGTGAGGAGAGATGAGGTTCCTCTAGTGCTGTTTCTGAACAGTGACGGTAATGGCTTGACTAGGGGAAAGTACACTTGTGTCCTGGATAAGGAAGTTGCTGATTACTATTACTCTTAGTACTTTGCTTTGTTTCTTCTTTCCCCATGTATTTTTTTTGACCACCCTCAGTCAACGGTCCTATCAGCACTTTTTTTCATGCTCTTGCTAATGCTGCATCCCAGCAAACATGGGCAAGTAGTTCTTTATATGCACCCACAATACTTACAAGTCAGGGAGTAAAACCCCAATTTAATCCGGTCGACAAAATTGTGATRCTCTACCACCTTCTTATGTGCTTGCTAGTTAAAACAGTATCCTGGCTTGGTTGGGTGGGACTTAAGATAATTTTGAAAATAACGAAACCAATTGATTTTATTCTGTGAATCCCAGTGCAGTCATCTTCCTAAAACTTAGCTAATGGTTTAAATTGACCTTGGGAGTAATCTGAAGTTTAGCTTGCCCTAAATTCCTGTTGTTCAGACTTAGAAATTCTTGTCCATATTTTTGGCTTTCTGTAATAAGACTTGTTAGGGCCTTACCTAGCCTTAGGCTCAGAAAGTAGGAATATTGACTGAGGGAAGAATAATTATGTAACAAATGTACAAACCTGAGATTTGTAAAGCTTGGGTTATTTGTCTGCCAAGAGGAGTGATTGGATTAATGTTCATAACTTTTCAGCTTTACTCAACTAGCTAGAAAAGAAAAGGGTGTTTGCTGAACAGTTATGGGGCTTTAATGCTTATTGTTCATAAGGAGATTTCTATAGAGAGGGTCAAGGGAAATGGTGGATATTTGGTGTTAGAGGAGCAAGCAGCCTACAAAAAAGCCATCTAGGGTATGGATGACTCCATTCCACCTGGAAGCACGTCAAGGTARCTGGGATGGTATGAGAAGAAGAGAATGGCATGCTCTACTTAAAACCTAGTAGGATTTTAATGTTACTTTTTATGTTTGGAAAGTCCTTGCATAATCTAGTGTCTTGATACTTGTTTCTRTGGGCTTTTCCTGATTTCAGGCCCTTGTGATTCTGCTCTTTTCATAGCATATATGTTTAGTGTTAGAAGTATTAAGAGAGTTTTGGGATGAGCCTGTTGTTTCTTGCTTGGATTTGAAAAGCAATTCTACAGCTGGTAGCAGCTGCAGTTGTCCTGCATTTTCACTATGAATAAAAAGAAAGGGTGGGGTGGAAGAACTTCTTACCATAGTATGTTTCAATGGTGGCTCAGTAGTAGACTTTTAGAATGCACGTGTGAGTTCTTTTTGAGTGGCTTAAGAATATGGATAGGCCATTAATAACACCCTGAATATGATACTGAGTAGATTGTGTTAAACTAAACAAAGTGTCTTGAATATTTCTAACACTTCTAAATTTCTTAAAACCAATCCTTCTGATGTGATTGTTGAGCTGAGTAACAAACTCAGTATAATTTCAAATCTTGTTTGTARTCTGGATAGGTTCCCAATCATAAAAACAAGTTGTTTGTAAGAATCTCTGTCCCTTTGGGAGGTTATGGGTGTTGGTTGTGCCACTCATGCAATTCTTGCTTATGTTATCTGACTGTATATAGTCAGACTGTATATAGTTAGGTGCCTGGCACCTAACTRATCTAGTTCAAGTTTAAGGTCTTAAAGTAAGGAAACTTAAGATGTTTGTTTTGGAAGCTGGTGTAGGTGTGGGTATTACTGATCTTGTGACATTCTTGATGTGTTACCTGGATTTTCTGACAAGAACTTTTCCTTTGGTTAGAACATAAAAGAAATTGTTTGTTAAAGATTCAAGTTGCAATTCTTTTTGACATGCAAGAAAAGCAAGGGTTATCAAGCAAGAAATTCAGGGTTGTGTGTGAAACTTCTTGAAAATATTCAGGTCTTTCAGCTTCAGTGTTTAGATAAAAGCATACAAAACACATCTAGGATTTTGCAGTTAACTAATATTATATTTTAGTTTGGGTCTAATCATTTATTTACCCTCCAAATTACAGAAATCATCACTGAGGAAGTTAAGATATATCTATCTATTTATGCTAATGCCCCTCTAGAAAAGATTATTTCTTAATGCATTGAAGATTAATGAAGTAATCTGTAACACACTTTTGATCAATATAAGTTGTTACCAGGCTTTTTATGAGTGAACATAGTGGATGATTGATTATCTGCAGTGACCTGGTATGTTGTGAATCTTAACTGAAAGCATGTATTTGTCAGATTATTTTCTAGCTGCCCCAGAAAAGAGATTATTGTCTTTAGCACCTGATATGCTGTATTTCAGCTTCTCAGAAGATTCCAGGTGGARCTTGAGTCTTAATTTCTGGCTGTTTCTGTTTCAAGTATATGTGGAACTTGTACTTCCAGAATAGAAAACACTTCTTTGCCTAGAATAGTTTTACATGACTAATACCTGCTTTCTGTATGACACTTAGTGTTGCTTTAATATATAATTGCATCTAGTAATAGATCTGGTTACTACTGGATATGCTACAGTTCATAGCTGTAGTAGAAAACAAGATAGAGGTTATCTCACTACTTTGAGTACAAGGAGTGTTTATTTCTCATGTCATTAATAATCTTTTGTAAATAAAATAATGGAACCACTGTTTGAGACTGGTCCAGTCTTATTTACCAAAAACTTTTGAATAGTGCTAATATTTTATAGGCCAGTTAGATCTGGTAGTTTTACCAAGGACTTTTTATTCGTTATTTTTATGTGTCTGTTGTTAAATCCACATGCTTCTAACAATTACAAGACGCATATTTTGGTTGAATGGATAAAAGAAAAAAATGTTCTTGTGTTTTATCMTAGCAAATAAAGTTGGTTTATAATTAATCTGGATTTTATGGGTCAGTACACAATGTACTTAAATTTCTATCAGATGTGGCAAGACGGCAGGGTTTTGATTGAGAATAGTTAAAAAATAATTCCTGTACTACAATTTCAAGTGTTGGGATGTCCTTACAGAACTTGTTTTTCAAATCAAGTTAGTATGAGCCAGGTTCTGTCTTTCCTAAAGAGGCTTTAGTGATTAATCAGGAAATGATGTAATTGGAGAAGTTACACTGCCATTCATCACATCTGCATTTTTACAGACCAAATCTAATTATCTGGTATAATTAACTGCTACGTTTTATGGCTTTTAGGATGCATATTAAAGGTAGTGACTTAAACTAAAGTTTAAAAGTGCCTGCTAGCTCTGTAATCCACCTGCTGTGCAGCACACCTTCGTATGAGTGTTTTAAAGCTTAGTAAATGTTTGAAGTTCTGGCAGATGGGAAAAATTTGTTTGTTCATTCCTTCATGCTAGTATTGTTCTTTTGTTAATGCTCCTTAAAAGGAAAATTAATTTGCTGAATGTGTAATTGCTGAATGTGAATGTGCAGTGGAAGGACACCTGAATACTTGTGTTAATTCCTTATGAATTTAAGTGTGATGACTAAAGTAATAGGTGAAATTGYCAGCCTTAATAAAGAGGCGATAGTAGGGTATTGGAATTAAAATTGTGCTAAGAGTTGCTTCCATATAGAAAGCTGAAGTTTAGCCATTAGAAAGCAGCTGTTTAAATTGGAGTAATTTTTTTAATACATTAGAATGTTTTAAGGAGTTGATGAAATCTACTTATGGTTGTTGCAATGCTTATTGAAAACTAACTTAAACTCATTTTGGTCGCTAGTCTTGCATTCTCTTCTTCGAATGAGAGCAGAGAATCATGTTTGAATTTTAGAATAAGAGTAAGTGCAGGGCCTGGGTCAGGGGAGATTCTTCAGTAAGGTTACAGAATTTAAACATGTTTGCAACTGTGACTCTAAGACTGCCGAACTTCTTTTTTTTTTTAAGGTAGATATTTTATTATGGGCTCAATTTAATTAAATTGTGATTAAGTTATCTGACACTGTTATAAGTACAGATATCTATCTTGTAACAGAAATCTTGTATTGGGACTTCTAAAACCAAACTCCTGAAAGCTTAACTACCCGGTCTTTGTCATAGAAACAGAATGTGAAGCAGGCTGGAAAGTTCCAAGTTAGAGTTTACAAACAATGCTTTTGTAAAAATGGACTGTGTTTAAGCATGCACTGGCAATTGTAGCTTACTTCTACTTTTGGATAATTTTTTTTTTGCAGTTCATGTGTACTTCAGTAAGGTAGCTCGTGCAATGTCTTTTTTCCCAGATTTTTTTTAAATTTCCACATCAGGGAGGTTAAAGATTCAGAGGGCAAGTGTTTTTGCTCAGTTGAAGTAAATCACCTCAGTTGCTCTGAAACAGTTGCAAAGAATTTTAAAATAGCTTTACACTTTTTTAATATTATCGGGGAAGCATGTTTGTTCAAAAGCCTTTTTTTATCTTCCCTTAGTGGTGGCAGGGAGTTGGTTGGTTGACAATAATTAGAAAACTATGGTCTGAACTTGCTTCAGTTGTAGCTTATATTCTATTGCAAGTTATAACCTTGAATAAATTCCCTTTAATTTTTAAAATACCTTATGACACTGTAATTCATTCTGTTTGAAATCTGTGCTTCAGACAAATCCATAGGTCCTGTGCAGTATGGCTGGCTTAAGCTGGCATGGTCTCAATCTACTATGTCCTTCTGCTTTTACAGCACATAAATACTTTATAAAGGAGCCTTGTATAAACATATAGTAATATGAAGCTTTCCATCACATAGTGGTAAGTTTACCCTGCAATTCTGTTGAATAGAAGTATCTTTGACTAATTATCTCCTTTTTTTATTTTTTGTAGGTGTTGTGGTAAATGGCCTGATTAACATTAGTATTTCAACAATTGAGAAGCGTTATGAGTTGAACAGTTCCCTCACTGGCTTAATCTCTGCAAGCTATGACATTGCTTTCTGTCTTTTGTCACTGTTTGTATCTTACTTTGGAGAAAGAGGACACAAACCACGATGGCTTGCTTTCTCAGCATTTATGCTAGGACTGGGCTCACTTGTATTTTCTTTACCACACTTCAAGAGTGGAAAATACCAATATGGAGGTAAACTTGAAGGTAAGCTTATTGTTATGTTTTGAAAATTACTCTAAAAATTAAAATCTCTGTAGCAACTTGGTGCAGTTCCTTATTTGGTACAATGTAGTTAAGCTCTATCAAAGTCCTAAAATAGGGTGGTGTCTGTACCATTGAAAATCAAATGATTCTGTGAATTCCGTAAGTTCAAGGGCAGCCTGTCTGTGCACTGAATGAGTTTTGTTTTTCCAGAAGCAATCTGAGTGCCAATATCAGTTCTTGCTCATAAGCAATATTTGATTAAAATGCTTTTTCTTCCTTGCACTTGAATGAATGCAATTAAAATACACTTTAAAGGAAAAAATATCTGGCATCTCTTTGTGACTAGAAATCAAGGTAGGTCAGCAATGTAGAATAGAATTTAAAACTGTTATACTTACCATTTTGTTGAAAGGTGACTGCTTGCATTTCTTTGTGGTTTTGAGCCATTAAAGGTATCTTGATTAATTCATTAACAAGTTTATCTAAGTTCTTTTAAAAGATATTGATTTTAACTTGTGATTTGAAATTTGAGATAAAGAAGCAGCAAGCAGAACTGAACTGCACCGAACAAAGCAGTACTGAAATCATGGGTGTAGCTATCTCTCAATTCTTAAGTTTTTCTCGTAGAAGAAGACTTCAGCAGTGTGATTAATGCCAACTTATTGTATTTCAATTTAGTGGTACACCTATAACTAACACAGAAATGTTAAGCTATGTCTAAAGCAGGATGTACTTAATCTTTTAGGATTGTCTTAATTGTTATTGCAGTGTTTAATCAAAATTTTGCCTTCAATAACTAAGCATATTAGAGTGCTCACTAAAAGTCAGTTGATGAAAGATTGATGATTTTCAAATTAATTTCTTTAGCATTAATAATTTCATCCACTTGTGTGAGCTGTCCAGATGTTAGCTAAAGAAGTTTTTCTTCCTTATCTAATAAAAGAGGATCTGAAATGGAAATTTAGTGAACTTTTAACTGAATAAGGAGAAAACACTCCTTATTGTTAGAGGGCTATAAGCAGATATTTACTTGTTACCTCTTAGTAGAGGGGCAAGAGGTTACTTGCTCCTGGCTGTTAGGGTCCCATTTCCCTACCATTTTGGTTTCAGGATAGACCTGCCTATTACACTGACGTATGAAAGGGAAGCTGAATTTAATACATAAAAGTTTAAACCTGGTTGTTTTTTTTTTTTGGGGGGGGTGGGGGGTTCAATTTAAACAAGATACTGTGTGTGGGAGAGCAGATTGCCAACTCTTTCAACTGATCTTTCCCCTCTGTCGTGGGTTTAAAACCTGATTTTTTTTCCCCCAATTTCCCGGCCAATGCACCAGAAAATCTCGTGGTTTAGACTGTGCTGAAAAAAAGCCAAAAGCACCGCACCCACGACTGTATCTCCCTCCCCCCCACCGGAGAGGGAGAAAGAAGAGCGAAAGCCCAATTAACACGAAAATTTATGGCTTTCAGATAACATAACGTAATTGAGAGAAAGATAAGGATGTGCTCCAGAGAAAAACGGTCAGACAGGCTGCATGACATAAGTTGCAAAATAGATTTTATTACTACAAACTACTAAGAATACTACAGCACTGGGAAGGAAAAAGATAAAAAAAAAGAGAGAGGGTCAAATTTACAAGGAGAAGAAAAATAAAACAGACATTTTTTAAGACACCTGTTATCCTTTCCGGGGACCCGTCTCATCCTAGGTCCCATCCCTCTCCAGCCCCCATGTCTTCCCACACACAAAGGGGGGCAGGAATGAAAGTCTAACACAGATCAAAGCACTCATTACAGTTGTTGTCAAACATAGGAGAAGCATTCTTCAGCTCCAAGCTGTGGGAGTCTGTCCCAATAAACAGTCAATGCATAACCGCTGATGGCGGAGGGAGTATTTTTTTACCTCGTAGGAGAAAAAGAAAGAATGTCCTTCAAGGCCAAACTGCGTTGTTTTTCAGCGGCGTGAGACCGACTATCACAAACCCCTGGCAAAGCACAGCTTCTTCTAAGCATCAGATGTCCTGGTGGGGGGCCAAACTTCTCTCTTTTTTTTGGCTGTTTAATCCAGTCCTCAAAGGCCAGGTTTTTTTTCCTCAGAGCAAGGTCGCTCTCTTTTTTTCCTATTCAGCTCTCTCTCAATAATGAAATAGTCCTTTCCGAGACACTTATTTTTCTCCTTGTTCGAGAACTACAGCATGGTACAGCAAAACATCCAGTCTTCTCCTTACTGATCTCCGGTCTCCATTTTTTTTCTTACATCTCCTCACCCTCCTGCTCTGTTTTTTTCCCAGTGCATGATACTAAAACTACATGCTATCAACCTAAAGCTACAATATGGCGGCCGCCTCTGTCTTGTTTTGAATTCCTCCTAAATACTACAATATACGTCATCACAGAGGTGTAACCAACCAGTGCAATTGGCCCAGGCCAGATGGGCAGCCTGTCCATCACCCTCAGAGCCATGAAGGATTGACTCTGGAACACAGGGGGTAGGGCTCCTTTTGCTGGAGAAGATGGAGACAGTTTCTAGAACTTCTCACAGCAGCCATCTTTGTGGTTTCTTGATCCCATCCCCCCACCACCAAAAAATCGGACCAAGTAAAACCATGACACCCTCCCAAGCAATGCTATTTGGAATCCTGAAGAAYATGTTACTGTTTCCTCCAGTAGCCATTATTTGAAATGGCTATAGATGTTGATACCTTTATTAGCTATGTTCTACATGGACTTTTGAAATCTAAAAGCAGTGGGGAATTTTTGAACTGGAATGTGTTTTCTTTACCACAGCACTGTCAGCTGATAGTGTTGCTGCAGTTTTGACTGTTATAATGCAGGTGCGTATGCTATGGCTGCGGTGAGCACATTTAATATCTTAAGGTGACTTAAACAAAACACTATTTAAGATAAACTACTAAGGGTGCAAGGAATGTCTGCACTATGGTAGTTAATGTAAATATCCAGATGCAGTGCAACAAGCCTTGCTTAACTGTCAAGTAAACCACAGTACAGGACTATGGGATGCCTGGTGTAGCTAGTTCTGAAGTTGATGAAGCATTTTAATGATAGAGTTAGTTGCAAAATTTAATGGCACCAGACCCCCGAAACCTTCCTTTTTGTTTATTTGTTTTAATGATTAGCCTATAGAGATATTTTTTTTTATTAAGCTTATTTGATGATGCTTTGTATTAAAATCTACCACGTAATTTGTTTCTGAACAGCTCTTGTTATTAGTTGGTTACTTAATTATCAATATGTCTGTTATGTCAATATTGTGAGTTTTGCATGCAGGATAATTTTGAAATACAATTTAATGCAACATTTAATGTGGCTGCCAGGTTAATTATTAAGTCTAGACTGAAATACATATAGCTTCCAGCGTAAATCTTATAAGCTTCCTGGAACTTGAGTTAATAACTTACCTTTATTCTGAGTATATACATTTACTACTCTACAAATCTATTTGATAATTTTTTTATCACAATACCACTTTCTAGAAACAGTTTAATTCATTTCATATTAAAAGAGCTGCTAATCAATGGTCCGCCTATTACAACTTTTTTAGCCACTGTAAAATGTGCTTTCTATTCTCCAGAAAGGGTTCAAATTTAACTTAGTAACCCAGGGACGATCAGCTGTTTGTTCTGGTCATCTTTCCAGGTTGCATGGGCCACTATTGCTTTAGGTGGCTCCGGTATATGCAGTCAGGGGCTCCCCCTGCTGGTGCTTCGCTAACAGAGTCAGACTAATTTGATTAATCAGACGGCACGGAGGACTGTGAAAACTGCAGATGCTATAAGCAGTGTACCTCTGAACTTTCGTCTCGGATTTTATTTTACAAATTTAAACATGTTTCAATATATCTGTCACAGCAAATGTGAACTGTGGTTTTTTCATTTGATACAAAGATGACGACTTTATTGTGAAGACAGTCAAACATTGGGACGGATTACCCAGGATACTTCCTGAGGTAAAAGGAAGGAAAACTTTAAAGACTCTTCCTTTTGAAATGAAGAGTCCCTTGCATTCGCCTGCTTATGTGCGACAGCGCTGTATCACCCATTGTGTGTTACAGAAAGTAATGATAAAACCTATGGACATATTTATAACACCAGTGTAGACAGTTTTGATACTTGCTATGTGGCCAGCATTTCTTTATGCTTGGTTTTGTGAGCCCAAAGTGTGGCTTGAGTTTGCCGTTTCTTTGCTTAAGTAAAAAGTGTTTTCAGATGTAAAGGTACCTAAAGAAAAAAAAGGACATAAGAATTTTGTAGTGAAGTAGTATGAATTAATCAGTCTACTTACCTGATCTGGAGGATGTTGTCATATAGTTGTTCAGTGGGGCTTATTACCACCAGACTGTTGGGTTTATCCTCWTTCTTGGGGTTTTATGCTCTTATGTGGAAAAACATGGAAAGAACCATTCTTCTGTATCTTGCCATTTGATACTATTACCAAAAATACAGTAAAAGCAAGAGAAAGGAGAAGACAACACATACTCCCTTTCTTCATTTTGTCTTTCCTCTTCCCTCCTTGTTGTGCCAAGTATTACAGGAGCAGATACAGCCTTACACTRCTGTACCACTGCTTTCCTCTTTGTGTGTGCACAGGAACAGAGGCTTTACATTAAYTTGTTGTTTTAGAGACATGGCAATGTGTGTTCTCTGAGAGATAGTGATGTAGGTTTTTAGGGTTTTCCTCTTTTTCATAGGCAAACACTTCTCAAAAGAGTGAATGTAAAGGGAAGATTATCTTTGCGAATGACTGACTGCACTTTCAAATGTGCCCAGCTTTCCTCAGATTGTTCAGGCTGCTCTTGTCACTTGAGTGGAAATTGTTATAAGTATRTATAATACATTATGTAATTGTTATTCTGTTCCTCAGAATTGGTACAAGGCACAAAAACAAAATGAGGTGTCTGTTACATAGAACATTGATAAACTGTAAAATCACCATTTGACAGGTGGTTGGTTTGTTTTTTTCATACATCTGGTCAGTAATACTTTCAACAAACCAAGGCATTTTAATAAGCCTGTTTTATTCATTTTATCTTCCTGGAGAGGAAACAAAATCCAAACCCTCACAGTGTTCTTTTGGGGGCAGTGATCTCACAGAAGGCTTGGCATTACCATATTTGATATATTAATAGKTGTGAAAATTAAAATGGGAGTGTGACATAACAGCATTGTTTTGTAGTTCAATTTTCAGTACAGATTCTTCTTCAAGTTGAACTGTGATGAGTTTGGCAACAGAATTGTAAAGTTTTGCTGTTTCTGTTTTTCAGACACGTGTCAAACTGCAGAAACCACCTTTGTTAATGCTACCTGCAGTGCCAGCACAAACTCTTCCCTTCACAACTATCTGTACGTCTTTATTGTGGGACAGCTGCTGCTGGGAGTTGGAGGAACTCCTCTGTATACTTTGGGGACAGCTTTTATTGATGATAGTGTCCCAAAACACAAGTCTTCCCTTTATATAGGTAACTTTAAAACTGTTTATAACACATTGTCTGGATAGATCATAGACTGCAATGCCTTCGAAATGCTTGTATGAATCCCTCTGATTAAATAATCTTGTAATTATTATTTACATGTATAAAGTGTTTCTACATCAATTACTGTGAAATTTTGGTATTAGTCTGCTCCTAAGTACCAAGTCTGTTTATTTTTTTATTTCACAGAGGAGGGTAAAGCTACTTTGAGCACCCCTTCTGTCACCTTTTCATGTCAGTAATTGAAAATGGTTAAATGGTTAATGTAGGCTCTCTGTTAACAGCGGAATAGGTTGTAGTTAAATTTACTTTTTAGTCACAGGTATTGAAAAATACCATGTATCAGTCAGGTCAGTAGCTAGATCATATTGTATCCTTTAATAACTTTATTTGCATATCTTCTTATAGTAGGCTGTTCATTCAGTGCATGAACACAGCTGTGCATCATGTGATCAATCCAGTTCTCTAGCCACATACAAATTTGGCATTTGGATGTAGTTCAAGAACAGGGATTGCTTTACTGGGGCTGTTTAAAAGCTAAAGAATACTAATTATGAGCAGTGGTTTTTAATCTTTTTCAGTCACCATCTTCTAGGTTATGTGCCTTTTTATTGCAGTCTAAGTCTGTTTTCTATGTGTATGAAGATACTTATTTGTCCCTTCATATATGTAAACTGATTAAAAACATATTAGCTATACAGGTAACTTGCAGGAGGAATTCAAAGGATCTCAGATTCCAGGACTAAAATTTGCTAGACTAATCAAAATTTTAAGTGGCAAAATTGAAATAATTATCTGTTTGCACACAGTTTTTTGCACATTTGTTCCCAGCACACTACTTCATTTGATGCCAACAAATAGCACAGTTGCATATAATAAATATTAGATAACAAAGGCAAGTTTTATTTTTGCTATTTCTTTATTTTAAGAGAGATAATATTACACTTTTTCTTCCTCCCCTGAAAGCAGTGAAATAAATAGAGCCGAATTAGGGTTGCTGCATGATTGGGGGAACAAGAAATTACCTGAAAACTCAGGAGAATTATGTCAGTGTTTATACTTATAAAAAAAGATCAGTACAATAAATTAATGCATGCACAATCTTCAGGCAACTCAGTTCAGAAGAGCAGTGTATTCTACCTAATATAGCAAAACTGGAGTGTGAGTAGCTAGGTAACTAAGCCTTGATTCTTTTCCTTGCTTTTATGCAATGTATTAAGTGTTAAGTATATTGTGTTGCTTTAACCAATACAAGAATGCTTATGCAAGAAAGAAAAAAAAAAAAAAAAAAAAAAAACAAAAAAAAACCAAAAAAAAAACCTCACAAAACAGAACCAAAACAAGCCCAGGCTCCATCCCTAAAATTGTGAATAGCTGCTAGCATCTCTTACTATAAGCTTGCAACTCATAAGTTGGTGATTTCTTTCTCTTTGAAACTGGGTGCATTTTCATGAGGACTATTCTGCTCTTGCTGAACTGGGGCATCTACAACTAAAGCCATTGAAGTTAAACAATTCCAAGTAGTATTTAAATTGAGTGTGTGGGAGGAAATAGGTACTTTCTATGCTCAGTTTGAAGTTCTGTAGGATGAATGTGAACTTAACTCACGCAGTTCCTATGACCATGTCATTATTTTTGAAATGTAAGAAAACATGGGATATATCTACTCAGTAYTCATTTTGACTTATCTGAGCGTTACATTTTGCATTGCTTCCCCCTCTTCCACCCCTCTCACTCTCCTGACTCCCCCATCGTTTTCTCTTACTAACTAGAGGGAAATAAAGCACTTGTGATTCATGAACTTCAGAAACAAATGAGAAATACAGTTTATTTCACCTGGGAAAGCAGCATAGAGTATCTGCAGTATGAATGCATGTTCACTACATAAAGATGTATCCAGTTGCTCTTAATTGAAAGCCTTAATCTATAGACCTAGTGCTCCTGCTATCAGTGAGTGCCAAACAGCAACAGAAATCTGTCTGCTAGGCCAGGGATACAAGTGTTACATCAGAAAAGTCTTGCACTCTTTTGTAGGGTATGGTTACACCCGCAATTTTGCAGGCTGCTGGGGATTTTTTTTTGGGGGGGGGGGGGAGGTGTTCTGGCTTGTTTGTTTTGTTGTTTGTTTTGGTTTCTTTTATTAAGAATCATCAGGAGCTGTCAAGAGCCCTGGTTTTATATTTTAAGGCAGATATTAGTCCAGTCAAACACTTTAATGTAACTTTTGTCTTCTGGTCTTAGAAGAACTAGCAGATAATTTAAGACTGAAAAATATAAGGTTCATAAAGATTGTGGTCAACACTGTTAATAATCAGTGTTAATAATTTCACTTAAAATTTCTTTTCACCAGCTAGCTTTTAAATGCAGGAACAAAATGGGCAAAAAGCAATCTAATGATGCTTAAAGGTGCAGTTAGTGAAATACCTTTTGCTGAACCTCTGGGTTGAAACTTCTAATTTGAGAGCTGCGAATTTCCTTTTTGAGGCATAGTTATAGGTTTTGTCTTCTATATGCTGTAATTGAAGTAGTGACAGTGAAAGAATAGGTTGACTTACAGAAACCTTTTGGTCTGAAGTTGATTTAAGAATTTTATTAAAGCTTTAAAAAAGAAGAAAGAAGTTATGCTGAACTTGATGTATTTTCTTTTCTAGGAATTGGCTATGCCATGTCTCTGCTGGGTCCTGCTATTGGCTATGTTTTAGGAGGGCAGCTGCTTAAGGTTTATATTGATATCCAGATCCCAGAAAGGCAAGATACAAATTAGTTTATTGCTTTCTATTTTCTTTTCCTATTTTTTAAAAAAAAATCTTCAGCTTTTCTCCCTTTGAGGAAAAAGTTTTTCAGACAATACTACATTTCAAGACCTTCATTAACTTGGAAACAAGTAGCACCTATAGTAGCTTCAAGCAAGTGACTTACTTCCCGGAGTGAGTAGTGACTCCACTGTGTGTGAAGGCTTCTCTGTAGTGCAAATAGTTAGTTCTAGCATTTAAATGTTAGCTATTTTAAACCTCAGTAACAGAAAATGGTTTTTCTTTTGCTTAGTTATTTATTCAACTTTAAGCTGCACCTACTGATTTCTTGTGGAAAGTTTCCTGGAGTTGGAATGAGGGTTAGGATATTTCTCCTTAAGTCCTAGGGAAGAGCTTGCTAGAAAATCTATCGGTTGAGTAATAGTCCACTATTAAAAAAATAAAGTTATAAATTGTTCTTCTGTCTAAACCAACAATTTCATCTATACTTTCATTTCCTTAGTTTTAGAGATTTCAGATCAATGCAATGGCATTCTGAACGTTTGAACTGGCTTTGCTATAACTCATTGATTATGAGGAATCTTTCTAAACCAAGCTTTTCCAGTATCTTAATAATGCTTCAAGATCTTGAAATTAGGGCCAAAGAATGGTCTTTCAATTGGAGTAACATTGACTAATGAGTTGAAGGCTATATTTGGTAGAATGCAATATTTTTATAATTACCCCCTGAAGTTGGTTTAAACAAGCAAACAACATATTTAATATATGTAAAACTAAGAAAATGGCAGTATTAAAGGGCTTTCTGTTAAATAAGTATTTAATGGAAGTATTCCAGCTCACTAAAATCTGAAATTGAGAAAGGTAAACCTGCTTTTTCTGAAATACTTTTCCAGTTCAAAGCTCAATCAAGACGACCCACGTTGGCTTGGAGCATGGTGGATAGGATTTCTTGCATGCTTTTTTGCAATTTGGCTTCTTATAATACCTTTTTCATGCTTTCCGAGGCATCTACCAGGTAAAGGTTTGGCAATATTTGGTTACTTTGAAACAGAGATTTGTTTATATTTGTGGGTTATAGGTTGCTGGACTGAATATTTCATCTTTGATTTTGTTTCATAGTTAACTGGTTTTGACTAAAACCTGAGGACAAGTGCAGTTTTTTGGTTTTCCCCTCCAACATGTAGCCTTTAAAACAAGGTGAATCAGCTAGAGGAAGGATCTTGCGTATGGTGGTGTTGCCCATGGCCAGGGTCTTGGGACTAGATAATCTTCAATTCCCCAAACCATTCTATAATTCTATATAATGATGTACTGTAGGACTGGAAACATGTATAACTAAGCATGGAAACTGGTGGTCAAATTCCAGGAGCATCCAGAGGCATTTACTATACTAATATTGAAGGACAAATGATGGAAGAGAAGAAGTAAGAGATGGGAGAAGTGAGGATGATTTAAAAATGAAAAAGCTTCAATTTTTGTAGCTTTTTGACATTGTTTAGGAGTGCAGCTACTCAATGTTTTCATTTTCCATAAATATGACCATTTGTAGGAACAGCAAAAATACAGGCTGAAAAAATCTCTGAAACACATGATGATGGAAGTCAGATACTGGTTCAGGCCAACAACATTGGACAAAGTTTTAAAGACTTTCCTTTGGCTCTCCTGGTAAGAAAAATCTCCAGTTTGCTAAAACTGAATATATTTTGAGAAATTATTTTTTCAGATGTTTTTTTCAGAGGTCTTTAGGAAGGTAATGGCTTATCATGTTGTCTTAGGGAAGACTTCAGTGCTAATGATAATTTATTGCACATTAATTTTGTTGATAGTTGAAATTGTTAGAAAAGTGTATTACAGAAGTTCCACTTCAGAGTATCTACTTTTAAAATATAGACTGCTACATTAGTTGGTACCAAAATCAAATAATTTCCAGAACGTTATGATAATTTCTTCCCATAGATACTGTTGAAGAATCCAGTGCTCATGAGTCTAATAATAGCCAGTTCCTCAGAAGCTTTAGTTGCCACTGGATTTGCCACATTTCTACCAAAGTTTATAGAAAATCAATTTGGAAAGTCATCAAGTTTTTCAGCAACTCTTGGAGGTAATGTGGCTTTTTATTTTTAAGTCTTAAATAGATTGTGTTGAACACTTAACATTACAGATGGAAGATTATGTGATTATCTTCTTTTGTGTGAGATATTTGTGAATGCACTTAGATGGAATGGAGTGATCAGAGCAGTATTTTAGTTACTTTTGCCTGCCCTAGTACTTGTTGTTTGTAGGTTCGTAAGGCTTGATACTCATATTCAAAGTAGAGTGAGTATTTTGTGTGCTGATGAAATGATAGTTTATTCCTTTCTTATTCTTGGAGAAAAACATTTAATTTTCCTTATTTAAAATTTGCTGAAGTATCTTAGTCCCTACTAAAACAATCAAGATGAATGGCAGCTAAATAAAAAACAGTGCTTATCACAAACTGGAAGTTGACTTTGCCTTTCTCTTCTTTAATTCCACACTGATGTTACAATGAGTTTGTAATAAAATGTCTAATCAGGATATGTTATAAAGCTATTATGCAACTGGTTCTATAGTTGGCATATTGTCACCTATTTATTTTCTGATGTGCAGAAGTAATTGAGCAGGGGAAAGCTGTGAGTGTTGGAGAAAGAGAAGAAATCTGATGGAAAAGCTGCGCTCAGTAGGGCCACATGATTAACTTTGTCACAATTAATTCTGAGGAATAGCAACCAGATCAAGGCGGAAATGTCCCTAATGCCAACAGATGCTTGGAAAATGCAGACTTTAGTATTTCTAGAATGTCTTGCTAAGCTGTAGAGTTCTGCAATATAATCATATGCTAGTTGAGTTACTCTTTCTCCAATGCTCGGCAAAGACTTTCTGAAATACTTACTCCTCTGGGCAGTATGAGATTAGTATTGTTGCATCAAAATGATGTATCTGCAAGTTTTATGTACAAATACAGTGGAATGCATGCTCCACTGTTAATCAAAAACCAGTAGTAAGGTAGAAAACTGAGTGTTSCTTTTTCCTTTTTTCCACAGACCTTGTGTTTGAGTTGAAAATATTGACAGCACTGAATTAAATATACAGCTTCTAAGCAATGCCCACTAATTCTGAAAGCTGGTTGTACCTGAACTTTGCTAGTTAGTCTAAGCATTAACAATTACCATGGAAACTAAACTATTGTTGAGTATGGTTTTCTGTGGCCCTGGGCAGTTTTGTCACTATATCTGAACTGCCTCCAAAGTTAGCTGTCTCAGGTCCGTGTAAGTTACACTGAGTTCTGTGTTGTATTATAGACTAGCCATATGAAAATGCTCAGTTATTTGCCTGGAGAGCAAAGAGGATAAATGATGATGGATTATGTGGGCTATGACAGCAAAACTGTCCCACTGATCTAGACTTCAAATCTTTCAGAAGATGTCTTACTGCATCTTGTGCTGTCTCTTGTATGATGCTGATTATGTTCTGTATTAAAAAGTTGGTAACAGATGGGTAACAAAAAACAAGGACATGTCAAAAAAAACACAAAAATCACCGAAGCAACGGAAGTGTATTTTCTGTTTTCAAGGAGGGACCTCCTTGTGTTCAGCAATTTCTGCCCCATAGTGGTCCTAAGTTTGGCTGTGCTGAAGTTGGGTTTTGGACAGCTATAAATCACAGTCCAGTTAAACCTCTCTAAAAGGCTAAAGGTGATGTAACAGTAGAATAAATTACTCATACACTTAGATTCTGGTAGTGTGGTTTGAAAACAGTATAACATGGAGTGCATTTTACAAGTAACTATTTTGATTTTTTTTCTTAGCATAGAATTGCACTCTTAATTGCTTTACACTTGTCTTGCATTTTTATGTAACTGCTCCTGTCTTGTTTTCCTCTAGGAATTGTATTAATTCCAGCAGCAGCCCTAGGCCAAGTCATAAGTGGTGTCTTGGTTTCCAAGTTCAAAATGAGTTGCAGAGCCATAATCAAGTTCATGATAAGCACTTGTTCAGTGGCCCTAATTTTAAACACAGTGTTTTTATTTGCTAAGTGCGGGAATGAACCTTTTGCAGGTGTCTCTGAAACGTATAATGGGTAAATATATTTTAATGCACTCTTGGGTTTAATGTTAATATTTAAATGCATCGGTTACATCATAGAGTAAAACCCATTTAAAATGTTACATTTTGCCTTGATGTACAAAACAAAAAATGTTTTATGGAACTCTAAAATTTTGTCTTGGAATTTTCATATAATTATATGAATTATATGCAATTACATGATCAAAGGTGTTGTGCCTTGCCTACAAAACGTTCTGATCAGTATAGTTGTGCTTGGCACAGAAATCACAGCCTCTCTAAGCATTCTAGATGTAATAGCCATGGCATTGATTACAGCTAATTTTGTATTACTATAAACATCACTGTAGTGATGTTTTTGTGTCTATTATTAACCAACTCTGAAAAATCTGGGCAGTTTGCTCCTGGCAGGTGTAGTATTTCATGAGAGAGTATAGAGGAACAAAGCATTTTACACTGATTGCATGTTTTTCACCAGAAAAGCAAAGAGATTATTGTAACATCAAGTTCTGGCACACCTGGCCTCCTTTTATAAAGGAGGCTTTCTAATATTTTCTATGTGTGATGGCTGATAGAAGATAGAAATGTAATGAAAAGACAGCATAGCTCAGTGACAAAGTTTAAAAATAAAATGGGTGGAGTAACATGGTTAACTGAAACATAGTTCAAAATATTTTTGGCTGACATGTATATAAAATAACTGTTTAAACAATAGGTACATTTCTTTCACTTAACACAATTTTCTAATGAGAATGTAGTCTCACCTTTGTAGTAATTATAATAAATTCTAGGATTAATATTTCCTGTTGCTGTGAACAAAGCTTACTCTGGAAACCAGTAGGACAGTGGGGGGAAAAGTCAGAAAGTGAAAGCAAAATTAGAAGGAAATTTTTGTAAGTATAAACATTCTTTAGAGACTGAATTTTTAGGTTCAGATTTAAGATACCATTGAATGTATGTGGTAAAACCACCACCTGAGGCAGTATGTCATAGAAAATGTCCAATCACACCTTGTTAAGGAAATAAGGATAAGGTCATAATGTTTCAATTCCCTTAGTTTCAAATAGCACACACACATGAGGAAGGAAATTGGTTTTGTAGGCTCTTATCTATATGCAAGTTGGTAGAGCGTAAAACTTAATGCTGTGATACTCTACTATTCATTTGTATTTCCCTTTCCAGAACATATGCTAAATAAATCAATCAAGTATAATACATTGGTGACTGAAGGAATATTAAAAAACCTTAAAGCCCAAGTTACCAAGTTATAAGATTGAATCATTCTGACTTCATTTTTAACTTGCTCTATAAATTGACTGTATATTTAAAGGCCTATTGAATTTTAATGCCTGTAATAAGGCTTTGCATCAGTGTGTGAAAAAAATGCTAGCAGATCGATTACAATTTAGTCCAAGTTGTCTGTGAACATCAGAATTCATACTTTGGTTATAGAAAGCTTATAGTTACATAATGAAGCATCTGTATTCATCAATCAAATCCTGAACATAGGGTACAGAAAATGATATATGAAGTTATCCGTATTATTATACTTTGTCCTATAATAACAAGCAGTTAACAAAACTTACAGCTGAACTGATTTTCATCCAAAGTTAAATACAGCTAACTTGTATTAACAGTTTAGTGTAATTTTGTCAGTTATGTAGTTTAACTATTGCTGAAGATCACTTATCTACAGCAATTTGAAGTTAATCAGTACTGAAATATCTCTCTTCCCTTGGTATCCATTATAAAAAAAAGTCTAGTTTTTTATCTAATTCACTGTTATATGTCAGACTATACTTTATTGGACATGCATCAGAATAGCTAGTGGCACTAATACAGTACCAGTTATTAAAATGTTTTCCATGAAGGAATAAAATATGTAGTACTAGCTTATAAAAGTAGTAAAATTATAAACTTGTGGAAGAACAGTCAAGTGTTTGCCTCCTACTTATGCTACTGAGCAATGCTTTTGAAAGAATAAACTAGGAGACTGCTTTGAGAGTTGACTTGGAATTTGATGCAGATTTTTTGTGGAGAATTTCAAGAAATCCTTCATGGCAAGCATTGTCTTCCTCTTGAAAAATAGCCCAGAGATGTGAGAGAAGCTTTGCAAGTTTAGTCTCAGAACAATGAGTATAGGATCACTTGTTTGTGTTGATGAAAACAGCATCATACTCATAGTAAACTGTTTATTAATAAATTAGACTATCAGCAGAACTAATATGGTTCATTTTGTTAAACAGGCACTTCAAAGAATTGGTTTTGCCAAATTCTATTGCCCAGCGTTTCCTTGAAAACTTAAAGAAACAGAAATGCAGTGACTTTCTGTACTTTGTTCATTTCCACATGCCTCTGGGACTCTTGTTTAAAAACTCCTACAGAGCTTTTTAAAGAGCATTTAATATCCTCATCTGCTAGGTTTTTTAGAAGAGCCAGGGATATCGTTTTTGTTACATTTTTCTCTGTGTATAACTAAATGTTTAGCTCATCTTTGGACGTCAGGGAGAAGAAACACTGCACATATAAACAGGACAAATGCCACCAAATTCATCAAATATTTCTAGGCTTTGCATGCCTCACAGGAAAACAAGGCTCTGTACAAACAAAACTGTGATTACTGAATTTGCTGATGTGTGCTGTAGTTCGTTCTTCATACATAGAAGAATTGAAGTTCGTTTGCTTAGGTTTATAGCACAAATGTAATTTAGTGAGAATATGCTGTAAAATAGATTTTATATATAGCTACAATGTCCCTAATTCCATTTGTAGCTTGAATGCATGCAAGTTACCTCTTAGATAAATTATTTCATCTATTAGTATTTTTTGCAATCTCCAGTTCTCATTAAGAAACATGCCTTTCAGGAAATAATTATGGGACTTTTGTTTTACAGTACAGTATTTAAACTACTGGCACTGTCAGTAACCTGGTTTTAGCTGAACTCTTAACCTCTGAAAATGTTTTGCTTATTAATGAACTACTGTTAGAATCAGAGGGTGTTTTTATTCTCTCCAGTTATGCCTTAGCACAGTCCTCACACAATCCAAAGTGATTTTTCATGCTGTTAATATAGTAGGACTACTTCTAATAAAACCACATGGTGACCTTTATTGGAAGTAAATGCCTGAATTGAGAGTAAATATAGTAAGCAGGAGGTTAAGTAAACTTTGTAATTTATTAGTTAGTCCCTAAACAGGCAGAGAAAATATCTAAGATCCTTCAGCGGATGTTATTATACCCTGCATTTAACATGTGCAGTCATCTTAGTGCTTGTACAATTTAGATGTCTGCACAGCAGTGTTAAAAATAGTAAAAATGTGGTGGCTTTGCAACTGAACTCAAATCCAAAATAGGGGAAAATCTCGGAGTATTATCAGTAGAACCAGCATCTTCAAATGGGAGGGAGAGGATCATATGAGAGTTCGGCTCTTACATTAGATGCAGAATTTTGTCATCTCTTGTGAGTGGATATTGGAGTAATAATCTTTGGAAGGAATAATAGCATAAAAATAACTAGGCACATAATAAATAGAAATTCCCTCTAGAGGTGTAACTACTCTGCTTATTCTTGTACAAGTAAGTCCATAAATAATTTGGATATTTTGAAATCTGTTATGCTGTAAATATTGCATTACTTATTTACATTACTTATTTACATATCTTCTGTTTTTCAATTGCTTTATTAAAAGCCTATTAACTTCTGCTTTTCAGAACAGGCACTCTGTATAACTTAACAGCACCATGCAATGCTAACTGCAGGTGTTTGCGCTCCATGTACTACCCAATTTGTGGCAGAGATGAAGTCCAGTACTTTTCTCCCTGTTTTGCGGGATGTGCCTCGTATTTTTTCAACAACATGAAAAAGGTACTTTATGCAATGAAGACAGCTGACGTGGTTTGTTCTGGTTTCCTGTAAAAGACATTGTGTTTCAGAAATGTCCTTCCCTTAGTATGAAAGGAAATGGCAGTATTTATGAATTTAACTGGCAGTTACTAAAAGATACACTATAACCAGGTGTTTTTAGACATTCCACTTCTGAAGATGTGATTTTTAATATATAATTCATTTACCGAATGACAGTTGATGTTACACAGGATTTCTGATTTATCAGTGATTCAAAATATACTGAAAACACATTACAAATGTGGGTTGTGTTTAGCAAAATTCAGTGATTACTATACACAGTTYGCTTTTGGTACCAGTCCCATTGCTGGTCTCTAACATGTTCACTGTCATAGTGCTGGGTCTCCCCAGTTACTGGGAAGGCATATGCAGGTTGAAGCCAGGTCAAGCTCATTGCTCTGAAATGTTTCTGCTAGTTGTCTGCTGGGGTAAGCCACAGTTGCTACCCTTCACCTGTCATGTTTATGCTGGTCTGCTAATTTAGGAAAATGTTTCTGCTCTCTTAATGAACTCAGGCAGARCATTTACACCACTGGTTGATTCACTGATATAGCATACCTGTTTCTTTTCTATATAGCTTCATTTGCAGCAGTTCTGGTCATTCACAGCCTGCACTGTTCTTTGAGCTTTCTAGACACATCATGCTTTCCCATCTCTGAGCCTTCTTTCATTACCAGCAAGGGTTTACTGGTTAGCCTGAGTGCTTCTCACTTTGCGCAATGCCATTTTGCAAATGTATTGCTGTGGGACTTTTTAATACTGAAAAAAAGTTAAATCTAAATGTACTTTAAATAGAATTGACAATCAGAAAAGTCAGCAATTGTCTTGAAATTACCTGAAGTTCTTATCTAGATCTTTAAGCAAAATGTAGTGTTTACTGTATACATGACCGTCTGCTTCTATGAGGTTTGAAAACCTGAATGTCAGTAACCCCTGATGCAGGAATGGTAAGCCATGAAAGTGCCTGGGTATTATAAAGCTTTCCCAGAACTGAATGGGCTTTCTGTGTCTGTCTTCTAGTACAAAAAAACTCTTGAGCAGGGATGTGGGAGGAGTATAGTGAGATCTGAAAGCCAAGCTGACTCAGGAAATACCTTTGTACATTTTATATTGGAAAAAGACAATGCTAAATGAGAAGGACATTTATCTGTATGAAACTGTAGGAAACTGACTGCTTCTTGCTATGCAAACTTTCACACTGCACTGACACATTATTTTTTGATTTGAAAACTTCTGTGGATTTGGATGAAGAACATATTCCATTTGTTCACCTGCTTATAAAAGTGGTCCAATATTGCTTCTGTTCTTTGCTGCTTAATAGTAGAGCTACCTCTGTCTGCCTATAATTTACCTCTTATCATCTGCAAGTTTTTTATGCTCATAGCTAAAAGCTTGCTCCATACAAAATTAAGACAATCACTGTCTGCTTAGGTCAAAAAGCAAAAATACCTTTAGCTCAGGTGAGGGGGAACAGTCAAATTCTCCTGAACCAGTTTTAAAAATTAATGTTAGCATCATGTGCTCATCAGGAAATGGACTGTTTCCCATTTGGTAAAGTCTGTATTTATTCTTGTCTTGTGTGATGCAGACCCAATGAACATGTACCAAAATAATGTTAATTTGTGTCATTCTTGGAGCTAAATTTTGTCTTATAAATTATTTGTAGACATTCCACAACTGTTCTTGTATTGGGAAACCAAAAAGAGAAAATGGTTCAGAAGACTATGAAGCTGTCCCTGGGAAATGTCCAACAAAATGCAATTTTTTACCTTTATTCCTGACCTTCTTCTTTTTTGCTGTGGTTTTTACATTTATGGCTGTTACACCAACAACTGTGGCCATTCTCAGGTATGTTTTTTGGCCTGAAAGAAAGGTAACATTCTTGTGGAAACTAGTATTAGGGAAATACTTTTATTTGTTTTGCTTTGCAATGCTCTGTTTGAACAAGGTTGTGTAGTAACCAGGCAGTACTTCAGAGGACATTCATACTACTGTTCACTCTTGTTAGTAGATATGATTTGAATCTACATAAAAATAAATCTTTCTTTCTTATAGCAAAATCTGGGAGCACCTTGTAGCACAAGTTTTATGGGAACACTCTTGACTGTTTTATTTAAAGCCAAAAGGTATAAATGTGCTATGTGCTTTGATGAAGAAAGTATTTGACTAACCTGTATACTGATAGTATCAAGATTTCAAATTACATCAGGAAAAGAATAAAATAACTATTAGTCTTGTATTCTCAAACTTTGATTCCTGTCTCAGTTCAGAGCAATGGCTTGAAAAATTGTAGTCTGTCAAGAACTGTAGACTACTTCCCATGATATTGTATATATTGTGATCATTGATGTAAAATGTGATAGCATATTAACCAGTGGTTTTGCTGAAACTAATATATGTAAAATTTAGATTTTTTTTTTGTTTTGATTTTTAAAATATGCTTCTCATTCCGAATGTAGTACTGTTTTGCTTTATGTTGACATCTGACTTGTGCCTCTAATACTTCTAGGCATGTTGCTTTGAGAGGGTGTGGCTAGATGCCCTTTGGCAGGGGGCTGAGGAAATAAATACGTACTACAACAGTGCTTTGTAGTAGCCTCCTGTCCAGGTTTGATCTAAATCAGGAATGATGTAAGTCTGGAATTAGCATATTGGCATATTAGTATGAGGGCAGAAAAAGTAAAGTTCTGCTTTATCTTCAAAATTGAGCTCACTTAGTTTTATTTCAATGATTCTAAGCAGTAGCATTTGAATATTTGAATCCTTATATAATTCAGCTAAAATAGTGAAACAGTTTTTATGGAAGAAAGGACTACAGAGTAGTTTAAATTTTCAGAAACGAATTTGATTATCTAAATGTCAGTAAGTTTTATAGTATATTCTGGTATCTTTTTGGTGAACCTCTTGTGCAACTTCAAACATAAACTCATGTATTCATGACAGTGTTATAGTGTTAGAAATAATAACCTGCATGATGTAAAATTCCTTCTTTTCCTAAATGCCTTTATGGGTAATAGGATCCTAACACTGACTGATGATAAGTGCTCGTCTTGGGTGTTTTGATGTGGCTAATTCTCATACATACTCCTGAATATGGGAATAACTTCTGAATACGTAAATACGTTCTTTTTCAACACTGAGAGTTTATGAAAAGGCATGATACAGTTTATTTAAGAAAATAGTTCTGAAACAAAATTGTATACATTAAACAAGTCCAGTTGTATTTAACCTTTATGGTAGTATCTTCAAGACACTTTGATGTCTGGAAAAATATTTTAAAATAGTGGTAAGAGGTAAAGAGGTAAATTCTGCTACTTATTAAATCAATATATTGGTTTGTATAGCCCAGACCAGCAAAGTTTATTTATAAGGTCAGGTGGATGTAAACAAATGTTATGGAAATACAGCATGTTGTGCTGTGCTCTCTAATCTCAATTTATGTATTGCTTCTTTAGGCATAGTAGCTCAGGATTGCATCCTAGCATTCTCTTTAAATTCCTTGGTTGTTCTATGGAAAAAATGTTCTGTAATATACCAGGGTGCTGATAGCAACCTTCCTTTTTATTTATACTATTTTGTTAAGCTAGTTAAATCAAAAATTTCTTGATGGGCTACTGGCGGTTTTTCTATAATTTAGCTAAACATCACTTGAAGTAGTTTGGTTACTTGTTCTGCACACTGGATTTCTAAACTTCTCTGCAACTAAGAGGTTAAAAGCTTATACAAAGACAAAGCATGTTCACTGAGAGACACAGCACAGAAATGGAACTTGTTTACTGTGTCTTAAACTGCAAATCTTACTTACAGGTGTGTGCCAGATAAACAGCGCTCATTTGCTCTTGGAGTACAGTCAGTGTTTCTGAGACTACTGGGTATGATTTTCTTGTTGAAATATTTGCCTCTGATAATCTGCCTATTTGACTTTCTTTCCTAAACTTTTACATAGTGCATTAAGAAGCTTTCAGAGGAACTTGAAGCAGTCTGTCATTGTCTTACAGTATACACTTATAAGGTACCATCTGGATTCAAATTCCTTGTTAATAGGGTATTCATGCTCACTGTAACCTTTCTTGTTCTTATGAGCACAAACCAAATTGAGGTAACTGTCATTCTATCAGTAAAAGGCACCTGACATTACTTTCCCTAGAAGAAGGCCTATTCTGAAATCTGAGATAAGAAAACTGGTGTAATAGAAAACAGCTTCATGTAGTTAACATCTGAAATCCAGATGTTAAAAGAATAGTGAATAGGGGTAGCCTTTCTTCTTCTTCCTTTCTTTAAAATGCCTATGACTGATTTTAGCATTTATTGAAATTGTAGACACTTGTACATAAATAATTATTGAGCATAATGTGGGAAATAAAATACTTGAATTCTAAATCAAAGCATCTCCAGCCTTTCAGTAAGACAGATGAATCTCTATAAATAAGCTAACTAATACTAATAGGTGTTTTCTGGTTCACAGTAATTTAAATTTTCTCAGGTATATTTTAAATTCTTCCTTTAGTATTAGGCAGTTTTTAAATGACRTCTTTAAATCAAGACTGGGACAAGACACTGTTGCTGATTAGACTTTCATGCCAATATTTAGTACTGCAATCTTTGAGATCACATGTCTAACAGTGTGAGTTCTGCTTTGCTGTATTTAAATTCTAATTCATTTTTATTCATTCTACCAATAAAGCATAACAAAAGAGAACATCCTTACATGTAGAAATTAGCTGGAAGGTAGAGCTCAGTGTTGTGTGAGGGTCTCTCTGCTTCACTCAGAGTTCAGGTATTTATTAGAGTTCTGACTCCTGACTTCACTGTGGAGCAATTGAAGTTTTTGCATTGCCTGTATTATGACTGAAAAAGGCAGCAATTACCAGTATTACTTTCCAGCAATGTATTTATGCTGCAGACTTCAGGAATCACACAGGGTTTTAGGCAGAAGATGTAGTGAAGGACATAGCTACTTGATAGCTCTTGGAGAGTTGAGTCTTTGGGTGGGTTGGGTAGACATGCAGGGGTGTACCTGGGGTGTTTATTATAAAATTAGCTATACCTGGATGCAACACATTTGTTCATTAAAACATGCAAATCACAAAGTTAGTAAAATCTGTGCATGAAYAATTTTAAACAGTGCCTTCGTTCTTTTTTTCTTGTGATTTTTTTACTGGAAGCTAGGAATGGGAAGAAATGTATAACTGAACATATTAACATAATATTTTAGTTGTTTTGGAACAGATCAAAATTCTTTCAATTACATTTCTACTTCCTTGATTAGCTGTTTTGACTCCTGATTTTAATCACTTTTTTCCTGATGAAGACTGAGAAAGTTAAGCTCAAGTCTTTGAATAAACTTCTTACTTATTAAACTGAGAACTATATAAAGAATTAACTGATACTCTGTGCATCCTACCTATTAACTGAGAGCAATGTTAGGTGCAGACTTACTATGTAATATGAGGCCTATGCCTTTAATCAAAGTGTCATGTTTAGTGTTTGATTTTCCCATTTTATCTTCCCTACCAGCCTGGCATTTCACTGTATGATGAAGACGAGTTATTCCAAGTTTTTCAAACATTCTAATGTGTTAATGTATTTTTTAGGTACTATTCCTGGACCTATCTTGTTTGGAGTTGCTATAGATAACAGTTGTACTCTGTGGGATATTAATGAATGTGAAGCTAAAGGAGCCTGCTGGATATATGACAATGAAAGAATGGCTTATTTGCTGATGGGTATAAGTAAGTCATTTACAGTAAATACATATACCAGGTAGTAGATATACTGATCCTCATGCTAGGTGGGAATTATTTTTTAATTGAACCGTATACTTCTAATTTTAGCACCAGTATTTTTAGATTTTTTTTCTTAAATAATAAGTAAAGTATTATGGAAGGAGAAACACCACAGTAAGTAACCCTTAAAGGTTAATTTAAAAAAATCATTTATAATAACACAAAATAGTTTTGCTCTTTGGTCTTGCTTCATTGTCATACCCTATTCACTAGATTTTAAGGGACTAGCACACACTTCAGTCTGTCTTCAGGGTCATGAGCATGATTAGGGGTGTGAAGATGATTAGAGAGATGGAGCACCTCTCCTAAAAAGAAAAGTCTGAGAGGGTTTGGATTGTTCAGCGTGGAAAAGTGAGGGCTCCACACTGACCTTATTGTGGCCTTCCAATACCTGAAGGGGAGCCTGCAAGATAAATAGAGAAGGACTTTTTMTCAGAGAGCATAGTGATTATGAAGGCAGAATGGATTTAAACTCAGAGGTTGTGTTTTGGTTAGATACTATGAAGAAACTCTTTACTGAGAGGGTGGCCACACACTGGAACGGGTTGCACCAACAAGTTATGGATGCCCCATGCCCAGAAGTGTTCAAGGTATGGGACCCTGAGCAACCTGATCTAATGGAAGGTATTCCTGTCCATAGTATGGGGTTGGAACTAGACAGTCTTTAGGTTCCCATCCAACTCAAATCATTCTGTCGTTATCTGGATTGGTGTGATGGCAATTTAAGGTCTGAGGAACTTTCTTCCTCTTTTTGTATTTTGGGTTCTTTTCCCTAACTTGTATAAAGTTCTTGAAAATATGTCTGAACACCAGTCAACAAAAATCATTACTTGTTTAACAATCTGTTCACTTCAAATGTGTGAGGTATGTAAGCCAGTGGGAGAGAAGGCAGGCTAAGCTTGCATTTGTAGTAAGTGCTGTTGTCCTGTCTTCTAGCAGTTGTGATATTTATAGTGTGTAAACTGAAGTGGTGCTGTCTAATCCTGAAATGGAAAAAGCAGTTGTCACAATTCGAGGTTTCAGTATCTCATGGCATATTTGTGACAAAAGACAATCCCTCCTGTTTTGCCCTTCTTGGCTTTCCAAGTTGCACAAACACCTTTTGTAATCTTTTAAGACAGCTGACAAGAGAATACTTAACAGGCATTCTATGTGGGAAGTCTTAGTTTCTGGAAAAGAGAATGTTGATATAATGAATGACAATACTGAAAGAAGAAATAAGAAAGACTTGGCAGTTTAAGCTAGAATGGGCTGAAGAAATACAAAACTGAAACAAAGGTAATAGCTGCTGCAAGGAAAAAGTGGCAGGCAAGTGTGGGGACTGAATGCAGTTTGATGACTACCTTTATCTGCCCTGTGTAAATCAAGCAAAATACATTGAAATGGAGGCTATGAATTTCAGTCTTAAGGGTGTATGTAATTCACCATTATGAAGCTTCCTAAATGAGGAAGCTTCCTTCTACTACTGAAAGTGAGCGCAATAAAAACTCTCCTGTTCTTCGCATTCAGGTGCTGCTTGCAAAATCATCACAATCATCTTTGTGGTCATGGCAGTGTATTTCTACAAGCCTCCACCATTAACTAAAGCCCTGCCACGAAAGACTGCAGAAAAGAGATCTGCTATACACACATAAATTGTGAGCAAATCAGGAACTTTTGAAAGAAAAATGTAAAGATAAGCATTATGACAACACTTGTACCAAAGTTCTTGTACTGCATTACCTAAATATAAAAAGATCATATTCAACAGTTGAACAACTTGAAATAGTTGTGAATCTATAGTGTTCTCTAATTTGCTAAACATTGTTTAGTATTCCATTGTTTCAATCCAAAGAAGTGACACTTGAATTTTCAGTCTAATTTTAAAAGTCTGGTATGTAACTTAGTTGAAACAAGATGAATACTCTGATCATAAAACATGAGAAATAAACTGAACAAGCTGACTGAGCTGCATTTATCCCTAAATTTTACTGTATTGGGAGAAAACAAGTAACTTAGTATATTGAAGGGAACTGTTCATGTTTAAAAAGGACTTAATGTGCACATAATCTGGGCTAATGCCTTCGGGRATTTTTCTGTAGAAACACTTGGGAATGTGTGAATTTAGCTGTTTTAGAAATATTTTTACATGGATCTTAATGGCATAAGTTTACTTTTTAGTATTTATAGGAAAATGTAAATAGTTAGGATAGCTGAGTTGCAAAATTACAATATGTGTTAATTTAAGTGCTTGAGTTTCTACCTGGGATATATACAGAGACTTGCTGTTCAACTGCTTTATTTAAGTCTTGTTAAAATGTTTCTATAAAATTTAAAAATAAAACCTATTTTCCTACTAAATCTGTGTATTCACTGTCATTTGCAAATGTGACTAAGGTCTTTTTAACTGTGTTTCTTAAACACAGGGCTGAAGGCTAGCAAGAATATGTATGGAAGCATCAAAACTAAAATATAGCTTTAGTTGTTCTTTTTGACTTAATGTAAGTCATGTTATTAAAGCCATATTTGTATAGCACAATGCAAGTGGTCGCAAGTTAGCCACTATTACCAGACATTAAACTATATTGCCCACTACCAAAATATCATTCGATATTGACAACAGGAAAATTTTCATGATTAAGATACCCTCTGCACTCACTTTGTTACTAAATGGGGTTTTTTCTGTTGTTCATGCTGTTCATGTCACTTTTAGAAAGCGGTGTGCCATCTTCCTTGGATTACAAGGACTATATTTATTGACTGCCAAGATTTTGAAACAAGTGCTACAACAAAGGATTATAGTATATGACTCATGTTTCATCTAATTCTTTAAGTGTAACTGTTAAATTAGCTAGAGGTTAAGTATGCAGCTCAAGAAGATCCTCTATTTGTAAATAACTATTCAGGAAATAAAGCAAAATAAAACTACAACATGTGAAAGCACAAGACCTGATGGCTTTGGAGGGAAGGAGGGAGGGAGGGAGGGAGGGAAAGGGGCAAGATTTGCTTGCTCCATATCAATGAATGTCTCCTGATAAGTTTTGTGATTGTTTCCTGATGAATGGGATTATAGCAAAATGAGTAACTACCCCTGAAAGAATGAAATACTGATCTGCCTTAATGTTTGGGAATGCGGACTAAGACTCTGAATTAATTTTCTAGCTCTGACATGGTTTGTGCAGGGTAYAGTGATACTGCTACATGTAGAATAGTAGCTCAACTGGTAAACTTGCTCATTTTGTTCTGTCTTAGACTATGAAAACAATTTACAGTTTCTGCTGCTTAATGCAGTTGCATAGATTACCAAACTTGTGGGGCTGAACAGTGAGAATTTTCTGAAGAAGTTACACAGTTTTACTTGCACTGAAGTGGTTATTTGGGGGGAGAAAGAAGGAAGAATTGCTGTTGTAATGTCGAATCTAGCCTATGACCCATTAAAGATTTTCTTTGCTTATTTAGGAGGAGTAGCAGCACAGTAACTAGAAGACAGACCAAATGGAAGTTTATCCATTTACCTTGTTTCATAGCAATACATAGTGGAGGCGAGTGAATGTTGTGTCAAAGGTTTTACAATGTGAAGATATTGTGTGTATTATGTATCTGGTCAGGCAGGCTGAGTTAAAAATTCGCCCCATGACTGTGCCCAGAGTGCCAAGTACAAAGTCCAGGTTGAGTCAAGTCCTTGCTGCTGAACCCCACAGATCAATACTGGAGCTATTAAAATTCAAACCCTTCTTTAATAACCTGAATGATGAGATATATTGTGCTCTAGACAAGTGGCTTCTAGACTGGATGTTTGCTGCCATACAAAAGGGATGGTTGCTGCCATACAGAAGAACCTTTACAAGACTGAGAAATGGGAAAACAGGAACCTTTTGAATTTCAGCAAAGGAAGTACAAAAGCTYGCACCCAAGGGAAAGATAATCCCATCCATCAGTAATAGGCAGGGGCCCACGCAGATGGAAGGCAGCCCTTCAGAGAAGGTCCTTGAGTTCATGGTAGACAAGCTGACCACAAGGCAGCAAAAAAGGCCAACAGTGTCTTAGTTTGCGTTAAGCAAAGCACTGACGGAGGTCCATGGAAGTGCTTCTGTTCCTATTCCATGCTACTGAGACCAGACCTGAAGTGCTGGGACCAGTTCTGGACTCTCCAGAACAAGGATGTTACACTCACTGGAGTGGGTGTTGTGTAGGACTACAATGAAAATTAAACTACAGGAATATCATTCATACAGGGAGCTGGGGGAGTTCTTTTTGTTCAGTAGATCAGACACAAGGAGGTTCTGAAGTTTGAAGAGGTAAAAACCAGACTTACTAATTCCCAACTTTCTGGACAAGAGGCAGTGGACACAAAGTGAACACCTGAAATTTCCTCTGAACACAAGAAATGGTTTTTAAACTGTGAAAGCAGTCAAACACTGGAACAAGTTTCTCAGGAATTTGTKAAGCCATTTTGATGATGTTTAAAATCTGAATGTACATGATCCTGAATAACCTGTTCTGGCTGACGTTTCAAACCCTGGGCAGAGAGTTTGGATTAGATGATCCAAGTGTTCCTGTGTTCCTGACCACCCCAAATGGTTCTCTGTTTCTGTGAGATGCTCCCCAATGGGACCTTTGCCCCATTCACCATGTGATGTGTAGCTTCTATTAGGTGTTCTTACAAGGACAGAGACTTACCTACTTTCGCACAGCATTTTTTAGTTTCTTTTGTTAGTTTTTGTTGCTGTTTCATTTATTTAATATCAGTTTGTAACTCATGTTAATATTAAAAACACTTGGCAACTAATACTCTGTATATGGCTCACTGGGTGAGGATAGTTCTTTTCATGGTAACAGTGGTAAAACAGTTTGAAGAGAAGTTGGCAGTCTTTTGTGATTTGTACATGCTCTGTGAACTGCTATTCAGAGTGTTTGGATTGCTAATTTCATGGATTATTATTTTTGAGGTTATATGAACTACCACAGATTTGGGGTTTAAGATATTCAAGTATTGTCCAAAATAAGGATGATTTAAGGCTTGTTGAAAGTTGCATCTTCTAACTAGCATGATTGCTTTTAGGAACAAATTCTAGTAAACAAAGTTGTCCAACTAAACATCATAGTAGAACAAAAATTTAAATTCATCTGTAAACCAGAACTAAGCTTCTAAAACGAAGTATATTGCCATATACAGCTAATACAAATGAATTACCCAAAACTTTATTGGAGCCTCTRCTCAATAAATATGCAGGATTCCATGAGTCTTACAAGGGAGTGACCATGGTTAACTATTACAGTTGAGAAGAAACTCCTGATCTAAACTTTCTTGTTGTTGTATGTTTTGTTAATCGCAAAACCAAGATTGCAAACTGCATTTTCTCTCATTTGAAGACGAAGGATGATGGTAAAGTAACCTCAAGCTCTGCACACTAAAAGCTGGAGCCACTTCTAAAAAAGCTTTTTATTTGAGAACATCTCCAAATTTAATACCTTAACACCAAAATTTACTTGCAATGGCAAGAGTATATTCTTTCTGGTGTCATGAATACTGAGAAAGGTGAAAAATTGAATTTTGTTTTGCAGGTGGGTAACAAATATAATTACGTAAAACCTTAAAATATTTTGTATACACACCTCTTTTGTGAGGTCTCCTTGCACATGATTAGAAGTATCTGAACAAAATTATTTGAAATGTGTTTGTAAACAGAGTAGATCAAATTACATCTACTGACAGATTATGGACAGAAACATGGGAACCTTAGCAAGGTGTATAACTAATTACCTGTTTTTACTTGTTTGTCAGTTGCTCACTGTTACTGAGATGATGACAGTATGACAAACTGCCTTGTTAAAGCAGTTACCTCATTGTTGCGGTTTGGAATGCTGGCCAAAAGCCAGGCACCCACAACACCTGCTCATTCGCTCTCCCCCACCACCACACTGGGTTGAGAAGAGCGAAGGGGGAAAAAAAAACTAACAAAAAGGTTCATGAGTTGAGATAAGGAACAGGGAGGAAAACACTTGATGGACAAAACAGGCACAACTTAAATAATCAAGTGAATTTATTATTAACAAAGTCAGAGGAGGAGAATGAGAAATAAATTACAACCCTCAAAGACACCGATCTTCTCCCCACTCCCTCCCGCCTTCCCACATACAACAAAGCAGCAGGAACGGAACAGGGTTTGGGGTTGGTCAGTTCATCACCGGATCCTCTGTGACAGCTGAGGGAGAAGATTCCTTTCCTTGCGTTGCCGTGGGGTCCCTCCCACGGGAGACAGTTCTCCATGAACCTCTCCGGCGTGGCTTCACTCTCACGAGCAGCAGGCCACACACATCTGCTGCTGCGTGAGTCCCCCCACGGGCAGACAGTCATCCCCAAACTGCTTCACCGTGGGCTCTCTTGTCCACCGGGTACAGTCAGAAGACCAGGCTGTTCCATCTCAGGAGCAAGGCCTCTCTCTCCATGGGTCTCCTGCTGGATACAGCCCGCTTCCCGTGTCTGCCCGCTCCGGCGTGGGGACCTCCCTCCTCCACGGGCTGCAGGTGGCTCCTGCACCCTCTGTGGACCTCATGGGCTGCAGGGGGACAACCTGCTTCACCATGCTCGTCACCACGGCCTGCAAAGGAATCCCAGCTCTGGCGCCTGGAGCAGCTCCTCCCCCTCCTGCACTGACCTTGGTGTCTGCATCCTTCACATATTTCTCAGCCTCCTCCACTGGCAAAACTACTCTCTGTGTGCCCTTTGTTTTGATTTCTTCTTAAATAYGTTTTCACAGAGGCGTAACCACTATCTTTAATTGGCCCAGGTTTGGTCAGTGGCATGTCCATCATCCTCAGAACCAACAGCAATTGGCTCCGCTGGACATGGTGGAAGCCTCCAGAAGCTTCTCACAGGCGCCATCTTTTTGGCCCCCCCACCTCCAAAAACTGGGCCAAGTAAAACCAACACACTCATTAAAGGTAGGTTCAGGTGTAAGCAAATGTAAGAAAGTTACAGAAATGTTTTTATTAATGAATGAGAATAAAATATCGTCTTAATCTGTTACTACACTAGAACATACAATTATGATACTAGACAATTGTGATACTAGAACTTTAGACTTAATTTGTGGGTTTTGTTTCATTTTATTTATTTGTTGTGGGATATTTTATTGTGTGTGTGGTTTTTTCCCCTCCCCACCAGATGACCATATTTCCGCTAAAAAAATAGCCAATTTTGTTGTGTTTTGCATGGAACATTACAATTTTTTTAGAGTGCAGAGAAGAAAATAACCAGCTTTTGCAAAAATACACAGTCAATGAAAGTGTAACTGGTGTCTTTTGTCTGCTTGATTCCTGCTTTTGCAGTGGCAGTGACTTCCTTTTTGTGGTAAATAAATGAATATGCTTTTTTATGACTTAATTTCTTTTTAAGACATGTCTGTATAGCACACTATGCAGCTCTATTTTTGTATGGGTTCTTGTCTTGGTTTGAAAGACAGATGTTTGCTAATGAAGGTAGGGACTTCTTTTGGAGTGGTGGATATGACTCTTCTTTTTTCTGAAATATAGYTTCAAAAATCATGGGCTTTCAGGTATGAATATGGGTAAAAGGGAGTAACAGTTTTTACTAATATGTATAACAAGGTGAAACAAGTAACAACAACGATAGCAACAATTAATGTAGTAACTCATTAAAACTCAGTGACATCTTCACACACCCACAACCCTCCCCTTTGGTGGAGTTACGATCTCAGCCGGTAGGGACGCTGTTGGCTCCCGGCTGGGCAGGGTGAGTGTGATGACTTCTCAGCGGCTGCAGGGGGCGCTGTGGCGCTGGTCCCGGCTAGTTGAGATTTCTCACATGGCGTATGGTGGGCACAAGCCAGCAGAGATGGATGGAGAAAAAAGTTCTTCCGCAAACTCACAGCAGAAAATGCCAATCTTGGTGCTTTTC